GTGTGTGTGTGTGTGTGTGTGTGGGTCGATCCAAGCCGCGTGGGTGGTGTTCTCTAATTGCTGGGCTGGACTTTCTTTTGCCAATTAGGTGGCTTCCTTAGACTTGCCCTTTTCTAACAGGATTGCTACATGGGGCACCTTCGTTCTGTGTAACCTCTTTCATACCGAGTGGAGCTGCTTTCAACATGTAAATTCCATCTTGGCACATGCGGGCGCTTTCAACAGGCTGCGCTGAAATCAACATCAGATACTGACACTGACGTGAAAAACAACACCAGGGGTGTCTTCTCCCCAAAAGTGGATTCTGTCGACATCTACGCCTTGTTAGAGGTGCCCTTCAAGTCTGTGTGTTTCAGTGGAAAGCCCCGTGGTTGGGCGGATTCCCAGCTAAAAAGTGGTGTTTGTTGAATACGCATGGTTTTCCTCATACCGCACACAGAAATGAACTCAAGATGACACATAGACCTAAATGTGTAGGCTAAAACAATAAATCTCTTAGAAGAAAGTATGAGTAAATATTCATGACCTTGGGTTAGGCAAAATCTTCCTAGATATAACACCCAAAGCACAAATGACAAAAGAAAAAAGCAGTTGGCCATCAGCAAAATTAAAATGTTTTGTGCTGTGAAGGACATCAAGGAAGGGAGAAGACAACCTGTAGATATTTACGAATCTTGTACCTGGAAAGAGGCTTGTATCCAGAATACATAAAGAACTCTTACGACTCAATAATAAAAATTTAAAAACGGGCAAAGGATTTGAACAGACATCTCTCCAAAGAAGATAGACAATTGGCCCATGAAAAGACGCTCAACGTCATTCGTCATCAAGGAAATGCAAATCAAAACAGAACGATAACCACTTCACACCCCCCGGGATGGTTTTAATAAGAAAAAACCACCATAATAACAAGTGCTGGTGAGGATTTAGAGAAATAGAATCCTCATATGCTGCTGACTGGACTGTCACATGGTGTGGCTGCTTTGGAAAATAGCGTGGAAGTTCCTCAAAATGTTAAACATGGAGTCACCATATGAGCCAGCAATTTCACTTTTGAGTATAGACCCAAAAGATATGAAAGCAGGGACTTGAACAGATATGTGCACATCCATGTTCATTGAGGCATTATTCACAGCACAATAGCCAGAAGGTGGAAACAACTCAAGTGTCCATCAAGTGTCCGTTAACTGATGAATGGGTAAACAGAATGTGGTATATCCATACAATGGATATCATTTGGCCAGTAAAAGGAATGAAATACTGGTATGTGCTATAACATGGATGAACCTTGAAAACATTATGCTAAGTGAAAGAAGCCAGTCACAAAGGATGACATATTATATGATGCCATTCATATGAAATGTCCAGAACAGGCACATTTGTAGAGGCAAAAAAACAGATTAGTGGTTGCCTAGGGTTGGGGGGCAGACGTTGGGGAGAAATGGAGAGTGGCTGCTCATGGGCATGGGGTTTCTTTTGGGGGTGATGACGTGTTCTAAAATTGGATTCTGGTGATAGTTGCACATTTTTTGACTATACTAAAAATCACTAAATTGTACGCCAGAAATGGATGGTATGTGAATTATATCTCAATAAAGCTGTTTTTTCAAAAAAGGGACTATTGTTTATCAAGTTACTACATTTAATTCAGCACCTGGGAGTACTCTGCTGCTGTTTCAGGAAGTCAACAAATATTTAGTGACTGCATGGAGAGTTAGGCGGACATTAGATGCTTGGAGTGCAAAAAGCAAGGAATTGATGCAGGATTTACCTTCAAAGAGCTTTTGTTCAAATGGGGAAGAGAAGAGTAAGCTAGGTGTGCAAGTAGCAAAAATATACCCCACTCCTGATTATCTGTGCTAGCCCTTCTCACTAGCTTCCCAGGAAATCAGCAACTACTAGCATATATAGGGGCCTTGATTTACGAGTGTCCTGACTAACGAGTTTTTTGAGATACCAGCTGTTTCTCGGCCGATTTTTTGCATTGAGTTGATAGAGTAATTTGAGTTAACGAGCTCCTTAACGAGCTTGGTCTCGGAACGAATTAAACTCGTAAGTCAAGGCCCCACTGTATAAATATATATATTATTGATTTCAGAGAGGAAGGGAGAGGGAGAGATAGCGATAGAAACATCAATGATGAGAGAGAATCGGCCCCCTATTGAGGATCGAGCCCAAAACCCAGGCAGGTGCCCTGACTGGGAACTGCCAGTGACCTCTTTGTTCATGGACCGATGCTCAACCACTGAGTCACACCAGGCCAGGCACGAATAGTTTTGCAAATCAATTTTTGTCTTTGATGACTTTCTTAGGCTAAATTATTAGAAATGGAAATTTTGTGTCAGAGTGTGCACATTGTAAAACTTTTGATTGATTTGAACTCTCAGACTGCCCTTTGGAAAGGTTGTACCAACATATGTTGACCCTGGAGTGTGAGTGTTTATTTTCCTGCTTGCTACAAATATTGTTTGTTTGTTTGTTTACTTGTCAACTTCATTGCTACCCCATTAACATCTTAATATTGAAGTTGGATTTTTTATGGGTACTTGTCAACTTCATTGCTACCCCATTAACATCTTAATTTTCATTTCTTTCCTCATTATTGAAGTTGGATTTTTTATGGGACTGTGATCCTTTTATTTAATGCCAAAAAGTATGTGATATTGACTAAAAGTGCGTCGAGCATGTAAAGGATGAAGATGTCTTTGTAGCCTGGAAGTGACAGGTTGAAGATACTTCTCGCCAAACTCTGTCACTGCTGGGAGGGAACGACATAGATGCTTTTGAGTGTCAAGTGGAGGGAAGGCGTTCTTTCTTGGATCTAATACCCCCTTGTCTCCCATCCAGGTTCTTAAAGGTGGCCAGGAAGCGCCCACCAAGCCCAAAGGCCGCCCCAAGAAGAACTCCATCCCCACCTCCGAAGAGATCGAAGCTGAAGAGAAGATGAACAGCCAGGCCCAGCGCCAGGAGTGCCCCACGCCCTCGCAGGGACGGGAGGAGCCCTGTGACACCCAGGAACCTCAAGCCTGCCCCGTCCCCTTGGAGGTGGCTGAGCCGCCAGGCCAGCCGCAGGAGTTGCCAGTAGCCTCTTCGGAACCGCCGCCACCGTCAAGCTAAAATCAAACTCTTTGAGGGGCAGGGGACACTGGGAAGAAGGGAAAGAGAGAAGGCAGGAGAATAGGAGAACAAAACTCCCCAAAGCCTGGTAAAGGGAGGGCGAAGAGAGCCATCTGCTTCCCTCCCTCCCTCTCTCCCTCCCTCCCTCCCACAGGTCTCCTTGGCATTTGGCATTTTCATCACAAGCATTTGAGAAGACTCAACGTGCCTTAGGCCTCTCTCTTCCTGAAAGGATGCTTTAGCCACAGGATGCCCTGCATAAAGGGAGATGGTGCCTTGGAACTGCCTGCCCCCGCTGAGGGCTGTGGTGCTGGGCGAGCACCCCACCTGGCACGGTGGGGGGAGGGGGGGTGCGGCTCAGCTCTCTCCCTGCCGGGCCTCTGGGCAGCCAGTCAGCAAAGCAGAAAGATACGGCGGGCTGGGGCAGCTTGCTCAGGTTCCTTGCTGACTCAGCACTTATTTCTGTAGTTTTTAAAAGAGAATTTCAGGTTTTTTGGTTGTTGTGGAGGGTGGGGTGGTTGAGGAGGGCGGGCTGGAAAGAGTCGGGGGGAAGGGAGTTCTGCGTTATTCCCACTGTTTCTGAATAAAGTTTGTTTGTTTGAAGACACGTGTGCCTTGGAACCCCTGATGCGAGTGTCAGGTGACTTGAGAACTGAGCAGCCTGGTTTTTTCTCGCTCCGTTAAGTTGCCATCCCTGGAAGCTGCAATGCGGACATGTTGAGATAACTTTTATTTTTTAATGAAAAATAAATCTTTCAAAAGGGCCGGGTGCGTTGGTTTCTTCGGCGGAGGGCGTGTGACTCTTCTTGACTAGCTCATGGGAAGAGAGACCCAGAGGCAGAGCCCTGCTCCCTGGGCTGCGGTTTCCCAGCTAGAAAAGAAAAGGCCGGGCCGGGCCCGTGGTGTCTCAGGGCAGAGGGCAAAAGGCAGATCCACCAGTGCCCTTGGGTGAGGACGGGGCAGGTGGTGGGGGCTCCGCTCACCCCCCTCCCACCGCCTTCTGCCAGCGCAACTCCATCAGGGACTGAACCTTCGGGGCTTCCACCTTCAAAACTGGTCCTACTTTTTCTGAAGAGATCATCAACGTATTTGCTTCAAAAATCCAGCTGTGTGAGAAAAAGTCATGCTGCCCTCCTGCCCCCTCTGCCCTGTGCCCGCCGTCCCCTCCAGGTAATCATGTCGATTGGTTTCTTGATTATCTTCTGTACTCGGTGTACACTTGGGTGACGGGTTCTGCAACTTCTAACAGAAGAAGATTGGAGAAGGACTTGGTCAGATGGGCTCTGTGATTTCAAGTTTGAAATGATGTCTCTCTTTTCGGAAGCCCCGGGAAGAGGCGGGCTGCAGACATCCTAGAGAGAACTCGGACTCCCGGCTGACTGCCCCGAAGACTGGCCCAGAGGCTGGTCCACAGGGGTTCACGGTCATCCTCCCCGGGTTCACTTGTGATGTCCTCCAGGGCAGAGCGCCTGTCATATGCACTGTCCATGACTACTTACACGGTCACTGCCCAGCGCGGGCTCAGGAAATAGCAACTGACTTGAATAACGGCTCCACTAGGAAGCAGGACCTGCTTCTAGTTCTGCAAAGCGAACCGTGGACGTGAGACAGGAATGATCGGCTGGTGTTCAGCGCTCCAGCCGCCCGCTTCCCCCTGTCAGCGTGGACAGTGAGAACGTGACTGCTGTGTGACCTGGCAGAGGCCCTGCCTGCATTGCTTTCGCCGTTGAGATCAACAAAGAGAAAACAGTTTTTATCCTTGACTCTTGTGAATAGACAAAGGAGGGAAGAAGGCTTTGGCCTTGAGAACAGGTCTGTGCAGGCCACACCCAGCGTCTGTGCACGGTCTCTTGTGTGGTGTGTGCAGAAGCTTCTTCGCCTCCAGCTCACCCCACGTACGGGTTTATGACCTGCCTACCAGGTGGTGTCAGAATGGGCCAAAGGGTTTACAGCAGGGGTCCTCAAACTTTTTAAACAGGGGGCCAGTTCACTGTCCCTCAGACCGTTGGAGGGCCGGACTATAGTTTAAAAAAAAAACTATGAACAAATTCCTATGCACACTGCACATATCTTATTTTGAAGTAAAAAAACAAAACGGGAACAAATACAATATTTGTATTTGCATGTGGCCTGCGGGCCGTAGTTTGAGGACCCCTGGTTTACAGAGTGGCCCAAGTCAGCAGGTGGATCTGTGCCGACGGAGTCTCGCTCCTTGTTATGTCCTCTTCACCCCTCCTCCCGCCCCCAAGGGCCTTTCATTTGGATTCTGTTTTTCCTACGATGGTGTTGGGTCTCTGGTCCTGGACTCTCATGTTATCCTTGTCTGAGGTGCTGGATAGTAACCGTCATTGCACGCATACATCTGCCCACACAGTGTCCCTGAGCCTGGGCCCACCACTGTTTCTGGCTTCCAGCCCTGAGTCCTATCCTGTCACCTTTGGTATTGTCTCCTGTCCCTAAGGGTTGAAAGGATTTCAGGGGAGGGGTCAAGACCTCAGATTAGCTTTCTTTCTGTTTGGAAGCCCTGAGCCCAAGGGCAAGTGCACGTTACAGCCTCGGGCCTGCCTCCTGCCTCAGCTCTGTAGAGCTGTGCTCTGTGACCCAGGGTGGGCCAGGCCGGGCCTTCCGGATGCCAGTGGGCACTGATTCGGCGCCAAGCCCTGTGTCCTCCTCTTTCCCTTTTGCACCCAGCACCCGCTGCACAGTATTCTGTGCGTGTAGGTAGATAGGTTGTTCTGTGCAGAGTCCTGAGCACGGCCATCCAATGACCCCTGTGCCCAGGAGTTCCCTCCTCACTTTCTCAGCTTCTTTCTGGGGTTTCCCAGTCACTTCAGAGGCAAGAGGGAAGGCGGAGCCAAAACTCTGTCTGCAGACACCTTCTCGTCACCCATGGGCTGCAGTGCTGGGCCCGTTTCCCAGGGGCCAGAGGGCAAGGGTGATGGAAGTCCATACATGAAGGCCCCCATGGCCAAGGGTCAGTTTGCCCCATTTTGCTAATTCCTTGTGGGAAAGGTACTGAAGAAGATGCCCTCGGATTTCCCCTCGGGACCACAGGCCGTGTTGCGGCAATCCGCTTGGGAGGAAGACAACGCCTAGGGAGACATTTGTCTAAAACAAAAAGTGAAAGCCTGTCCGGGCCGAAGTCACGTTTGGTAGCTGGCCGTGCCTTGGTGAGGTCGTTTGGCCTGGTTCATGAGGCGATGTTAGGAGGTGGCTGAGGGAGGTGCGTCCATCCTAGAGAATGGCTGTAGGGCAAAGGTGAAGGTCATAGCTGGAGTGAAATCTAAAACCTTGGGTTGGGCGGTAGCCGGAAGCATCCTTTCCTGTGGCGAGTCGGCATGGCCATGGCATACTCAGCCCCAGGTGCCTTATGTGCCGCGCCAGCTCAGCCAGGTTCAGTGACCCTGAGAGGGGACGGTGAAGGGTTAAGAAAAGACAGACAAGAGAAGAAAGCTGGGTCTCGGTGGAGAGCTAGCAACAGCGCCATGGACTATAAGCCATGTCTTTATTTTATAGCCAGATTCCATGAGGCAAAGTAAGGGCGTTGTCAAGATGTTTACAACATTCTCCTGGGTTTTGATCCTACTCAACTACATGCACCTGAACTCTATCAAGCCCATATCACTCAGGCACGTGGGGCCACGTGTTCAGACCACAGGTTCAAGCTTATAACTCTAGCTGTTGGCTATCATTGTGTTGGGAGGGCTTATTTTATAGCAGATTCCACAAGGCAAAGTAAGGGCGTTATCAAGATGTTTACAACATTCTCGGTTTCAATCCTACTCAACTACATGCACCTGAACTCTATCAAGCCCACATCACTCAGGCACGTGGGACCACAGTTTCGGCCCATAGGTTCAAGCTTACAGCTCTAGCTGTTGGCTGTAATTGTGTTGGGAGCACAGCCTTAAGCGCTGTCAGCCACAGTTCAAGTCCACAGGTACTTCCTCAACGCCTGTCCTGTGAGGAGCGCCCTGCTAGTGCTAATGGGGGGGACGGGGGTGCAGCAATGTGCCGCCTTCTTATCCTTTCCTCCTCCTCCTCCTTCTCCCTCTCCCTCTCCTCCTCTTCCTCCTCCTCCTCCTCCTCCTGAGGATATTTTTCCCATTGAATTTTAGAGAGAGTGGAAGGAAGGGAGAGAAAAAGAGAGGAAGACATCGATGTGAGAGAGACACATTGATTGGTTGCCTTCTGCATGCACCCTGACCCAGGGCCAGGGATCGAGCCTGCAACCGAGGTACATGCCCTTGACCAGAATCGAACCCGAGACCCTTCAGTCCTCGGGCCGACGCTCTAATCACTGAGCCAAACCAGCCAGGGTGAGCTTGAATCTTCCTGGAGAACCTTCCACTTTAGTGAGTTTGGGGCGGGGGCAGGGGTTCAGCTAGGTTTTTGTGGAATTTCCACCTGCCCTCACCTGTGAGATGGCCTCTCTCTGGGCAGGGAAGGGCATTCGTGGGATGTACAACCCTCAGCATGTCCCCCCAGCTAGGGCCGCTAGGAGAGGGTTAATGTCTTAGGCCCCTGTGCACCTGGAAGGGTGATTAACACTGGAACAACAATCCACCTGAATATGCCTCTAATCCCAGGTTGTCACCCAAATCCTGGGTGGAGGTGGCTGGGGAGGGAGAGATCTGGTAATGCCATTGGTAATCTGGGTGTGGATCCTGAGGGGAGGTGTGGGCACCAGCCTGGTTTTGCTTCTTTGCGTTCTGTGCTTGCCTCCCAGCGGGCAGTGGCGGCCAAGACCTTCCCTGCCTTCGCTCCCACCGCCTGCCCGTTCAGGCCCACCCTCCGGCTGCCCTGGGGTCGGCCTCTGGCAAACCCAGGTCAGCAGCGGCCAGGAGGGGCCGGCGCTGCGGTAAATCACTGTGACAGGCGCCTTTCATACCTGACCTCTCGTTCCCAAACCTCTTCCCTTCTGTTTATTTTTGTTGCAGATTTATTAGACACACGGTTAAGTGCCCATTTAGCTCTGCAAACTGTCAGCTCCCCTGCTCTATGAATAAGGCCATTCACAGACAAAAGCCCTTAAACGTTTTTGAAAGAGAAGGTAGGGAGGGAGAAGGAGAGGAGAGGAGGAGGAAATAGCGCCCCAGGTCAGTGAGGAGGCCAAGATCAACCGAAACCCAAGCGCAGGCCTCTCCTGTAGGCCAAGAATGTAACAAGGGCCCTCAGAGCCGCCTGGGATCACCCTGCTCGGCAAGATGTGTGTCATCTCTCCGCAGGCCGCGGGGGTCTAGAGTTCACTCCTTTGTCTCGGAGCCTGGGAGCTCACCGCTGGGCAGGCTGAGCGGCCGTGCACCTGCTCGGGGGCGGTTGCCAAGAACCTGGAGGCATGTCAGGCTGAGTCCTTGCCCCTTGGGAGCCCTCCTCCTGCTTCTGCCCAGGCTCCCCTCCTTCAGGTGCCATTTCTTCCCAAGCACCTGGCTCCTTCAACACACACGGCTCTGCGCCTTCAACACACACGGCTCTGCGGAAAGTTGCAAGACGCTGGTACACTGTCTTTGTACGCCAGCCCGTATTAGGGACCATTTACATCATCGCTTCTAACCATCTCAGCAGCCCTCTGAAGTAGGCACTGTGATCACCTCCACTCAGAGATGGGGAAGCTGGGACCACGTGGTGGAACAACTCACAGTTGCCTAACGCAGCTGGGCGGATGCACTTCCCATCATCCCTGGACTGGGCCTGTGCCTACTTGTGAGAGGGCTGAGTTGACCAAGCCTGATCTCAGGGCAGAGCCCTGAGGTAGACAGGCCATG